TGTTACTCCTCTTTTTCTGCTACGGACTTCTTCTTCCTTTGGAGTTTTCTCCCCTCTCCGCTCTCTTCTTCTCTCTCTGTGGTATTTTGTGTGTTGTATGTCCACTCAGATCCCCCTTCATACTGGGAATGCAACTCCTTTTATAGAGTTTTGAAGCCGGTTCTTCTTCCAAGATAGCCTCCCCATGCTTGTGAATTATTTATTCCTCCGAATGCTTTGTGTCTTGAATCCGAGAATTGACTGGTCTCTTGCCCTTCTCCAGCACTGGTATCAGCTGCAACATTGATCATCATGGCAGTTGGGAGTCTAACCAAGGGAACAAGCATGCCCTTGGATGAGACACACTCATTAAATTGTGTCTTGGAGATATCTTTGACCAGCTCAGCAAAATTTAATTTCAGCAGCCTAATTTTTGTTTCTAAAGCCCCTCTTTTCCAGCAGTTATGCACTTAGGTCCATACCCATGCAAAAACACAAAACTAGTTAAGCAAAATGAACTAATTCTAAGAAACACCCCTAATTCTCCATTAATTTCAAAGTAGATTAATGCTTTTTGTGTAACAAATTAACCATTATCAACCATCGACAAATATAACGAAAAAAATTTAAAAGAAAACAATAAATCAAGAACATATATTTGAAACACGGAAATTATGAAGAACAAAACCTTAATCGCTTAGATTTGCACCAGTTTCATCGAATATGGATATATATTTTCAAAAAACTAAAAAAAAGGATTCCATACGTGTTCTTTTGATACAAAAAACTTAAAATCTCACCTTTTCTTTAATAGGAAAATTTGGTCCAAACGCAATATTTTGCTGAAACAATCACAAATATCACGAAAAAACAAAACATTAAGAAAAAAAACTATCGGAAGAACTTTCTTACAACAAAACAAAATTATAATTGTTAAATTGAAGTTACCGTATTGAAAAAAAAAAAATTCTCCACTCACCAGTGATGAACAAAAATAGCACCAAATGGGATAGTGGAGTGTTGATACATGATTCTATTTACAACTCTTTCATGAGAAAATTTGTCCGCCATTTGTCCTTTTTTGTGGGAAAAGATAAAAATGGTTAACATCCTAAAAAGTTTCCTAGGAATTATTGTAGCTACATTCCCTCGAAAATAAAGTTATTTACTTATCAAGTAAAAGTGTTATTTTAAGATAGAAACTACGGTATATATCTATTTATAACATAATACTAGTTAAAACTTAACAAGTATTTGTGTTTTCCTTCTTTTATGAAAAAAGAAAAAAATCTTCTACTAGCTTGACTTCCAAAAGATTTGCCCGGAAAATTGTATTTGCATTCCCTCCAAAAAAACAAATTAAAAAAAATTTACTAATCAAGTAAAAAGTGTTATTTTAAAATTAGAAGCTATATTTTTAATATAATAAATTATGTAAAAACTAGAAAGAGTTTGTATATGATTGAATCTGTCATATAGTCCTTTTCGTTGTCATCACTACCAGTTCATTTTCTATGAGTCTTCTAATCCAATTACCAACTCCACTAGAATTGAACCACAAACTCTAATTAATGTCTTATTTCTTAAAAACTAAAATAAAATAATCGATGGTAACCACCACCCACACATTTCTTATGTTGATTAATAGTTGGTATGCTTACATCAAGTTCAACCTGTAATTGAAACTTCTTAAAAATTTGTCCAGTATTTTTACTCATTGCTATAAAATAACATGAGTTACTCAATGCAATCCAATGCTATCAGACCCGGATTTTAAACCAAACCGGTATTAGTAGGGGGGTCACGGCTGAACCCCATTAGCCCGGAGCATAAAACCAGGTGATGTCATCATGATGTCAATACATGTTTATTAAAAATATATCAACAATAATATAAAATATTTATTCAGTAAAAAAAATCAAGTTGAAAAATATAATGAACTTAACCATCCATAATACATCAAAGTCTAAAAAGCATAGTATATTCAAAATTTATTAAAATTAAAATCATAAAAAGTTTAGTTCAAACTTCAAAGGACAGTAAATGATAGATCAATTATCAAATAGACCATAATCCTCCTTCTTATCTCCGGTTGCATCTTCCTCATTATCATGGTGATCATTGAAAATTTGACAAGTCAATTGGATTTTCATCTTCCTCTTCACCATCTTCAACATGCACCAACATAGATTTTTGTTGACCTAAAACACAAGATGAACGTAAACTGTCAAATCTATATCCATCCATTAAGAAACATTAAGAGTTCTTTTTTTTTTCTAAAGAACAAAAGTAGAAAACTGAACAAATAGTTTCTCACTTTGTTGAGTTGAGTTCCCTTCCCCATCACTTGAAATTCTTTTAACATATCTTCAAACTAATCATTGTCATGTTCTCCTTCAGGTTGATATTCCAGTATCCAAAACTCAGTTTTATCAATTGACTCATAGTCAATTGGATCATAGGATTTCTTGTTACCAATTAACCTAAAAAGAAAACATAAAAAACCACAATGAATAAAAAAATAATTTAATTACGATAACTAACTTTTATGCTACATTGCCTATTTTTCAGACGAAAGTTATAGTGAATATAAACAAGATTATTGAGTCTTTTATGCTCCAGCCTATTCCTTTTTCTTTTTTTTTTTGTATAAATTCACTCAAATACACACTCCAATTACGTTCACAACCTGAAGAAGATACTGTTTGACTCAGAATTCTAATGGCCATCTTTTGCAAATTTGGAGCATCAATACCAAAAAGCCTCCACCAGTCATCTATGTCATTATTCAAACATAAATAAATAAATCAAATACACTGAAATATAATGAATACTAAAGCTTAGATGCAATAAAAAAATATAATTTAGAACTGTCAAGACGGGAAGAATTAGTTGTTCTCTGAACAAACTCCAAACCAAAACTTTTATTTGTTGACATAAAGCTTGCGATTTCATTCATCACATCTTGCTTTTCTTCTATTTGGAACCCCCTAAATATTTCCAACACACTTTTCCAAATTTCAGGCAAGTTAGTGCGAGTGTCTAGCTCATATTGAAAGGCTGGATTCAACAAAAAAGTAGCAGAATGGAGATTTTTGTTCAACATATTATCTCGTCTTTTTTTCAATAATATTAATGTAAGGTTGATATAATTTCTTTTTGCCTAGGAATAATTTGTTTTTTTTTATGCCATTCACGACCCTCCACATTCCATCAAAAACTTATCCTAAAGAAGGTCTTTCACCATAATCACATATACCCAACAAACGTATGATTGACCCTATAATCTTCACACTAATCAAGCAAGTTTTCCAAAAATCATCATTAAGAACAATCTACTTAACATCTTTTCCCTTATTATTTTCCCTTTCGTTTTTCACATAATGGAGAAGCGACTAAGCTCAAGTCTTTATGGTCATATAGACTATTTAAAACTATAAACGAAGTACCAAATCTAGTTTCAGAAAGGCGAAGGATTTCTTTCCAACTAGGTCTGATGAGAATCATATGGCTTCACAATGGAGTCAAAACCAAATGAAGGAGCAAAAGGTGTTCTTGTCAATTGGTGGACCAAGATTGTTTCCTTTCAAGAATTGAAGAAAGTTTGCTGTGAGAAGTTGGCCTTCTTTGAAGGAATTATCACCAACACCTTCTAGTGGGAACAAAGACGTTGAAGAAGAATTGCTTAATGAAGATCAAGGGTTTGAAGAATCTAATGAAGACTTTGCTAACCATTAGAGTGATTCAAGTGAAGAAGATTCAAGTGATGTCAAAGAGATTGATGCAAGTGAGTTTGTTCCAAAGAGTAAGCGCCTTGAAGACATTGAAGATGCACACTCAAGTGTGTAGAAGACATTAATTGAAGTTGAAGATTTGAATTGAAGCTGTGCACGCCAATGAAGAGGAAGAGCCCCGCGAAAAACTATTTAAATATATTTATTTAAATTATTGTTGAGTCCGTAAATTATTTACCTAGAGTTAAATAAAAAGTTTACCTAGAGTTAAATAAAAAGTTTACCCTTAAGGTAACTTCTATGGGGGGCGGCCAAGAGGTCTTTATTTCATTAAGGGTATTTGAGTCTTTTTTCCATTAAAAGAAGTAAAGTTAATTACTTTACTTGATGGTTAAGTTTAGTTAGAGTTTGAGTCAAAATTGACTACGTCTTTCCTTTTTGTGCATTGGATCGAGTAGTGTGCAAGAAAAGTACCTTTTCTTGAGCCTAAAGTTTAGGTAATTTTAGGGTTTATGTCTTGGAGAGCAAGAGAAGCTTGCCTATAAATAGGTGGCCGAATTGTCTTAAAAAATATGTGAATGAGTCGAATAAATTGAGCTGTAACCTTTATGGTTTTTAATGAAATATCATCAATGGATGGTTTTCTCACAATGAGCGTTTTTTGTTGTTTTGGAAGAGTTGAAGGGTTAGTAATTTTTTTCTTTCTTAGAGCCTAACGTGTGACTTGGTTCTTTGAGCGAACCGTTTTATCATGTTTTATGTGTTGCATGATTTAATTATTTAAAACTAATTTTCTTATTGAAGATCACCTAAAAGTTTCTCTCTCTAATAGTAATTTTTTCTCTCTCTAAAAATTTCTCTCCCGCCTCTCTCTAGCTTTTCTCATCGACCTTATTATTTTCAGCCACCTTGGCCGGCGATCAAATAGGGGAGGACCCCACTGGTCCTCGAAGCTTTGCAAGCTTTTTTTTCAAAAAAACTCTGGATCTTGTCTTAAAAGGTTCGTTAGTAAAAGAGATCAAGTTCATCAATGGTGCGCCTGTGTTGGAGTATGAAGATGATGAGTATAACAAATTGGTGGCACCTCACCAACTAAGTTTAATTGGTAAATTTTCTTATGGATGTCCAAAAATGGAGGAAATCCATAAAGAATTTAAGAAACTTGGGTTTCATGGAGGATACACTCTAGGGCTTATGAACCCTAGACATGTTCTCATTCGATTTGAAAAAGAAGAGGACTTTCAGAGGTGTTGGATTTGGACATTTTGGAGCGTAGTGGGGTTTTCAATGAGAATCCTCAAATGGAGACCCGGATTCAAGTACGAGGAAGATCCACCCATTGTGCCTATTTGGGTTTCACTTTTTGGTCTTCCAATAGAAATTCTTAACCTGGAGGTTATATTTTCAATGGCCACTGCGATCAGAAAGCCATTGAAGGTAGATGCCCCAATGGTGAACATGATGAAGCCATCAGTTGCATGTTTCTGTGTTGAAGTCGACATCACAAAGGATTTCCCGAAATCTGTGAAGGTTGGAAAGAAGGGCAAGAAGCATGATCAAATATTCACCGATGAGCACATTCCGGATTATTGTTCTAAATGCTGCAAAATAGGCCACAAAAAGGAAGATTGTCGAATTGGAAAGCCAAATCCATTGGTGAAGAAGGGGCAAGATCATGATGGTGTTGATGTTTCCAAGAAGAAAGGAGGCGCTAAGTCTGTCCATGTGAAAGCAACAAACCCTAGATCGCAAGGGGATGTGACTAAGCAATCGTCGAAGGGTTCGCCAAAGCTATTGCAGGGGGGCACTCCTGCAAACCCTAATTTGTCACAGGAGGGTGCAACAACTTCTTTGCTTCTACCAAAATCTCAGGGGGCTGCGATTAAAATCTCAGAAGCTTCTTCGTTGGGGTTGACTGCTGTTGAGAAGGAGTCCATTCCTATGGACATTCCATCGACTGAAAACATGGAAAAAGGAGCTGCTCAAGCTGAGTTGAAAGAGCCCGATGTTGCACCAGCTCCTAAACCGGCGGACCTCAACTGTTTCTCTATTTTAGCTTCGATAACGGAGTTGGATGGTTAGATGAATTCTAATGATGATAGTATTGAAAGCGTGTTTGTTGAAGAGTTTCCCACTAAGATTGCTGAAGGTTTTAACTCTCAGCTTGCTCTTGCATTGTTTCGTCTGAATTCTTTGCCTCGGATTGAAGTCCTTGATGATAACTATATTGGTGTTAGCAGCCGACCTGTGGAGGAGTTGCAGTAGGATGCTGATGATATTGATGATGGTGAATTTTCGGTTCCGAAGAAGCGTGGCTAGAAATCAAGATTGGAAAGGGCTAAGATGCATGATGGAGCTATCTTGCGTCGTTCTGCCCATTTGAATTGATCTTCTCCCTTATTTTGTTTCCAATGATAAGTCAAATCATATGGAATATATTCGAGCTATTAAAAATCAAGCGTCACAACGGCGTTTGCAATCTCTACTTTGAACTTATAATGTATCCTTTTTTATTATTTTAGAACCTTTGCTTCAATTCATAGCTTAGAAGAAATAAGAAGAGAGCTGAAATTTGACATGGCTTTTGCTTCTGTTACTAGTAAAATATGGGTTTTCTCCAGAGCTGGTTTTAGTGCTACTCTTTTGGAAGAGAATGATCAAGTTATGCACTTCAGGCTTGTGCACCCTTCAGTTTCAACTCCCTTCTTTGTATCGGCTGTATATGCTAAGTCAAGAAGGAGTGACTGAATGTCATTATGGAGGAGTTTGGTTGATTTTCATCAAGCGAATCGGGATGTCCCTTAGATGGTTGGAGGAGACTTTAATGTTATTCGATATCTTGAGGAGTATTTTGGTTGTTCTGTCCAAAATCATGGTGCCATGGAGGATTTTAATGAGTGTATTCAGTCATGTGAATTGCTGGAATTTCCTACAGTGGGGGAGGAATATACTTGGGATGGTACTTGTCACACCGATTGGGTTAGTAAGTAATTGGATAGAGTGTTATTTTCTGTAGAATGGCAAGATCTATTTCCAACTTCTTCCATTGAAAATTTGAGTAGAACAACATCAGACCATTGCCCTATCTTACACTTGTTTGCGGTGCAAAGAGAAAGCAAACCTAAATTGTTCCGGTTTCAAAAGATGTGGCTTCGGAGATCTGAATTTTTGTCTATTGTTAAGGAGAGTTGGGAGCAGCCGGTTGACGCTTTTGGTATGATTGGTTTTTTACTTAAATTGCGAAGGCTTATGCTGAGGTTAAAAGAATGGAACAAAAATTCTTTTGGGGACGTTTTTTCAAATCTAAAAAAAGCGGAGGAAATGGTTCAAGAGCTAGAGATGAAATATGATGATTCAAGGGCTGAGGTAGATAGAGCAGCTCTACACCTTGCTAAGGCTATTTTGTTGCAAAAACTTAAAGAGCAACAGAACTTCCTAAGGCAAAAGGAAAAGGTGAAATGGTTGAAGGAGGGAGATGCTAATACTGCTTTTTTCCATGCTTCATTAAAGGAAAGAAAGGTTAGGCAATGTATCAATAAAATCATGTCCAGGAATGGTGAAATGTTAGTTGAGATGAACTCTATTGAGCAAGAGGTGGTCGAATTCTTCCAGGAGTTACTAGCGGAAGAAGAGAATTCTAGTGATATGGAAGCTCATGAGACTCTTCTACAACACATTCCATGTGTTCTTGGGGCGGTGGATCATGGTCTCTTGTTGTGGCCGCTTGAGATGGATGAGGTGAAAGATGCGGTTTTTAGTTTGAATGAAGAAAGTGCGCCGGGTGTGGATGGATTTGGAGGTACTTTCTATCGAAGTTGCTGGAATATCATCGCTAATGATCTTTTGTCAGCATGTCATGAATTCATGCTAGGGGTGCCTATACCAAGATCTATAGCTAGTACTTTGATTACTCTTCTTCCTAAAAAGGCTGCGGTGGAAACTTTCTCGGACTTTCGCCCAATCAGCCTTTGTAACTTCTTAAACAAGGTGTTTACTAAAGTAATCACTGAAAGGTTCAAGAGAGTTCTACCAAGGCTCATCTCGGAGGAACAATCGACATTTCTTGCTGGCTGGGATATTGTCGACAATGTGTTATTGGCTCAAGACTTGTGTCAATTCATCAATAGAAAAGCGATTGGGAGTAATATGGTGGTTAAGGCGGATATGATGAAGGCGTATGACCGTGTCAAGTGGAGTTTCCTTCGTGCTATCTTGCTGAAATTTGGTTTTCGGCTCATTTTGTAGTTTGTAGGTTTGATCATGAATAATTTGCAAACTAGCTGGTTCTCTGTCTTACTTAATGGGAGCCCAGTTGGCTTTTTCAAGGCTTTGCGAGGTATCAAACAAGGGGATCCATTGTCCCCTCATCTTTTTATCTTTGTCTCGAAAGCTCTCACTAGAAGATTAAAGTATTTAGTGGATATTAGAAAGATTGCACAATATGGTACGCCTGCGGGTTCCTTGGTGGTATCTCACTCGTGTTTTGCCGATGACTTGATAATTTTTTCTAAAGGGCTGAAGAGTTCTATGAAGAAAATCAATAAGTTTTTTGAGCTATATGAGGCGAAAACAGGTCCAAAAATAAATAGGGAGAAAAGCTTTTTTGTTACCTCTGGAAAATGTAGCCCTAGAAGAATTGCGATGATGAAAAGGACCCTTGGTATGCAAAAAGGAGCCTTCCCCTTTGCTTATTTAGGGTGTCATTTGTTTCATGGAAGAACGAAACCCTCCACCTTCCAATTCCTTTTGGATTCAATGGATTCTAAGCTCCTAAGTTGGAAAAATAAGTTGCTACCTCCTGGAGAAAGGTTGATGTTGATTAAGCATGTATTGTCCTCTATGCCTATACATATTTTTTCAGCCATCCCTCCGCCTAAATCGGTTATTCTGGAAATGGAAAAGAGGTGTCAAAAGTTTCTTTGGGAAGGAGCAAGTGAAGAGAAAAAGCGGCATTGGCGTGCATGGAATAGGATTACTTTTCCTATATTGGAGAATGGATTAGGGTTAAGGAATGTTCATGATATTATTGCTACTCTTTCGGCTAAATTATGGTGGAAGATTAAGTGTCGAAAAGGAATTTGGAGCTCCTTTACTCTTTCATTATCTAACTCAGCTAGAGAGAAAACTTCATGGTCTAGAGTCGAAGGTTGCACCTTTGGTTGCGCCTCACTCTAAGGTGATTGTAAAGAGGGGAGATAGGCTTTTTTGGTTTGATAATTGGAGTGCATATGGGATCTTATGGTCTCAAATGACTGTCCAATTGCCTAGACAACATCTCACTATTAGAGAATTTTTTGAGAGCAAGGACCTTCTCTTGGCAGAATTTCAAGGGGTCCTTGATCCGACTGCATGGCTCTTTTTGGAAAGAAGTGAATTGAGTTTCTTGGAGGAAGAAGATTTACTTGTATGGCAGCATAATCCTCATGGTCTTTTCTTGGTCAAGACAGCTTTTGAGGTGGTGAGAAGCCAGCAAGTACCTAACCCAATCTTGGGTAATTTATGGCACCAGTTAGTTCCTTCTTGCATATCCTTTTTCTTATGAAAATTGCAAAAATTTTTGTTGCCTTTCCCTGAATTTATTGCTACTTTTGGTATTATGGTTCATCCTTCTATATGTGGTTTTTGTCACTATGACATGGATAGCATTAGTCATTGCTTCTATAGTTGCTCTTTTGTTACTTCTATAGGGAAGCATTTTGCATCTGTCATGAATCTTGATGTTAGAGAGCATACAAGCCTTCTTGGTTTGCTGAAAAAATGGTGGAGGAGAGGGTCTTTTAATTCAGCAAAAGAGGCTTTGTATAAGTTGATCCCAATCTATATACTTTGGGAGACTTGGAAGATGCACAACAAGATTATTTTTGAAGGTTGTAAGCCTGTCTTAAGCTATGTAATTGGCTCCATCTTAACTAATGTCCGGGATTTGTTGTTAGTGCATGAAGTGAAGGCTTGTAATGAACCTGATAAAGTTTTCATTGCAATTTATTTGGCATCCAATTATCTAGGAAAGTGAGAAGAAGATCACAAGTTGTGCGGTGGATTCCTCCTGCACCAAATTTTAATATATTGAATTCGGATGGTTCATCTTCACTTAATGGTGCGGGTTATGGTTTTGTGGTCTGAGGTGAGGGTGGCAAGTTTTTATATGGGGAATGTAGTTATCTTGGAGATGATGACAGTTTTACATCTGAAGTTTGTGGGATTTTGTTTGGATTGAGAAGGTGCGAGCTAATGAGTCTTCCGAATTTTATTGTCCAAACAGATAATAAGGTTCTTGCTGAAGCTCTAACCAAATGAGTAGGTTTTCCATGGAAGCATTATTTGATGATGGTTGAGATGAATACTATCTGGAAAAGGAATAATTACTCTATCACTCATATATACAGGGAAGGAAATGCAGTTGCAAATCACCTGACAAAGCAAGCGTCGATGGGAGAATCCACAGTATTTATCTGTTTTAATTCTATTCCTAGTTATTTAAAAAGTCTTTTGGTTTTAGATGAAATGTCCTTCCTTTATGTACGTATTTGAGCTGAGGATTCTTGTAATGGGTTAGACTAAACTCTGCCCTCTTTTCAAGAATTATTAATAAAATTAGGGAGGGATGAAACTAGGGAACTATATTGTATTTATGTCCATCCCTTGGGTAGACCCCCTAGGTGCATGATACTATATAGCACTGCCTGGCATAGGACATATCTCTTGGGTATATCCCTTGAGTACTAGTATGTCAGATGGGACCTGAAAGTCATCCTAACCTTCCAATTTATTTTTAAAAAAAAAACTGATTTTCTTATTATCTTTAGATATGATGGCTGATTGGTTAAGCATGTATGATTGCTTGGTTAGTTCGAGTTTACTGTGTTCTAGGGTTGTAGGATACCTTGTTGGTTTATCTATTTGCTATAGATGAGTTTGCATGGAAATAACATGATGAATAATGTGTTTTGTATGCTTATTGCCTTGGTTATGAATGTGTCCTATCCAATATAGTGAACTATATTCGAGTGGTTTGTTTGTAGTTGAGTGAGTGATTTGCTCATTGCATGTATCGTCAATTTTATGGGTGATTGTTCGATTAT